CTCTGCTGCCAGGAATGACAGCTCATCCCACGGCTCTGAAGGACTGCAACAAAGCGTGGCGGCAAATGTCAGAAACAGAATCCGCTGGGCGAACGATCGCGCCCACCATCGCATGTCAACAGCCCTCCCCACTTGTGTGTCCGTGTCACATACTTCTTCCGTGTGGGTTAGAGATACACGCCTCCTCTTTCCCCCCCCCTCCCCCCCCCATCGTCCTGTTTCCACCCCCTCCCCCCCCACACACACACACTGAATGGACGCTGACCACTTGTAAGAAAAATCAGCCTTTTTCTTAAGCGAAATTCAAGGTTGAAGCGAAGCCGGTTAACACGCCTCAAAAAGAAAACCTTCGACAATTCAGCTAAAGCAACCGATCTGACTTGACTTGAGGGGTACACAGGCAACACATGTAACCTATCCCCCGTGTGAAATCTACTGCTGTCCTATTTAATGTATAAAATAAACCCCAGGTGTCTCTTTTACACATTAAATATGTATCACTGGACGAGATTTTAAAAAAATAGAGAAAAAGAAATCAGTGATTGCAGCTGTCAGCCACACTCACACACTGACAGACACACCGCTCACTCTCACACTGACACACACACACTTGCTCACTCACACTCTGACACACACACTCACACTCGCTCACTCTCACACTCTCTGGCACACGCACACACACACACACACACACGAACACCCGTTTCAGTGCCTGACCCCCTCCACGCTACTATCAGTGTCGAGCCTTCAGCCACTTCACCCCTAAACTCCTGCCTCGATCCCTCCATCACATGCCCTTTTTAATCTTTAAATTCCACCTGAAAACATACCTATTCGACCACTCCTATGGTCACCATCCCCTCCCCGTCTCCCTTGCTCGGTGCCCAATTCCACCCCAGTACAGCACACTCCGCTACGTTATTTTACTGAATAAGACAAGTGCTGAATAAAGACAAGTTGTCGTTGTTGCGCCTTTGGCACTTGCCTGGGCCATGCAGTTAATTGAATGTGTGCCTCCCCCACCCCCATTTATTTGTAGGACAACAGCTTCTTCATAAGAGGAAAGAGTCGTACAAGGAAGGCAAAGCGACAGCGGAAAAAAATCCCAATTGGAAAAGGTGATCAGGGAGAAGGGGTCAAGGCAGTGCGGCGTTCCGAGCGCTTATGCTCCAAGCACAAAACCAAACACGTTGAGGCAGAGGGTCAGGATGGTCGGACTTCGCTGCAGTTCCTTTTGAATCATAAGAGCTCCAAACACAAGCCTAAGCCAATGCAGGCAGATCCACAGCAAGAGCTAGTAACAGAGGGGTCCCCTTTGCGTAAGCACTCAAAACGCAAGCGTGGGCACCCGGAAGCAAAGGCAGAAACACAAGACGTGACAATGCTAGAATCTCCTTTGCAACATAAGAGATCCAAACGGAAACAAAAGCGTGCGGAGGCGGACAAACAGCATGAGCTCGTAACAGGGACTTCCATTTTGCATAAGCGCTCAGAACCCAAGAATGGGCACCTGGAGGCCGAGGCAGAAACACAGGAAGATGTGACAACGGTAAAATCTCCTTTGTTACATAAGAGCTCCAAACGCAAGAACAAGCGTGCGGAGACGGACAAACAGCAGGAGCCTGTAACAGTGGATTCCGCTTTGCATAAGCGTTCAGAAGACAAGAATGGGCACCTGGAGGCCGAGGCAGAAACACGAGATGCGACAATGCAAGAATCTCCTTTGCAACGTAAGACCTCCAAACACAAGCGTAAGCCAATGAAGACAGATCCACAGGAAGAGCTTGTACCAGAAGGCTCAGGTTTGCCTGAGCACAAAAAACACGAGCATGGACACCCGGAGGCAGAGGCAGAAACACAAGATGTGACAACGCTACAATCTCCTTTGCAACGTAAGAGCTCCAAACGCAAGAACAAGCGTGCAGAGGCTGACAAACAGGAAGAGCTTGCAACAGAGGGGGCCGTTTTGCCTGAGCACCAAAAACACGAGCGTGGGCGCCCGGAGGCAGAGGCAGAAACACAGGAAGTTGGGACAGCGCTAGAATCTGCTCTGCAACATAAACGTTCCAAACGCAAGAATAAGGCAGTGAAGGCAAATCCACAGGAAGAGCTTGTAACAGAGGGGGCCATTTTGCCTAAGCGCAAGCAACACGAGCATGAGCACTTGGATGCCATGCTAGAACCTGTTTTGCATAATAAGAGCTCGAAACGTAAGAAGAAGCGTGTGGAGCACAAGCTTGTAACAGAGGGGTCCGTTCTGTGTAAGCGCTCAGAACACAAGAATGGGCACCTGGAGGCAGAGGCAGAAACACAGGATGTGACAACGCAAGAATCTCCTCTGCAACATCAGAGCTCCAAACGCAAGCCTAAGCCAGTGCAAGCAGATCGACAGCAAGAGCTAGTAACAGAGGGGTCAGATTTGCCTGATCACTCAAAAGGCAAGCGTGGGCACCTGGAGGTAGAAACACAAGATTTGACAACGCGACAATCTCCTTTGCAGCATAAGAGCTCGAAACGCAGGAACAAGCGTGCAGAGGCTGACAAACAGCACAAGCTTGCAACAGAAGAGTCTGTTTTGCGCAAGCATAAAAAAAGCAAGAACGGGCACCTGGAAGCAGAGGCAGAAACACAGGAAGGTGTGATAACGCTAGATTCTCCTTTGCATAATAATCGCTCCAAACACAAGCGTAAGCCAACGAAGGCAGATCCGCAGGAAGAGCTTGTAACGGAGGAAGCCATTTTGCCTGAGCGCAAAAAACACAAGAATGGTGACCTGGGGGCAACGCGAGAATCTCCTTTGCAACACAAGAGCTCGAAACGCAAGCAAAAGCGTGCGGAGGCTGACCAACGGGTAGAGCTTGAAACAGAGGGGGCTGTTGTGCATGAACACCCAAAACGCAAGAATGGGCACCCAGAGACAGAAACGCAGGAAGATGTGACAACGCTAAAATCTGCTTTGCATGATGAGAGCTCCGAACGCAAGAACGAGCGTGCGGAGTCAGCCAAACAGCACAAGCTTGCAACGAAGGAGTCCGGTTTGGGCAAGCGCAAAAAACTCACGAATGGGCACCCGGAGGCAAAGGCACAGCAAAAGCTCGCAGTGGAACAGGAAACTCTGGGAATTCCTCTTCTTGATCCACCAAGTGACCAAAATAATCGCATGGAGGCAGTTGACCCTGAACCGCAAGTAACGGTGAACCCGCCTGCGGGCAAACCCAAGCGTAAAAACCTAGGGGCAGATGGACAGGGAGACCTTACGGAGGAGCAAGACAACATGGTGTTACTGAGCTACGCTTCCCTCTCGCCAACAAGACCTAAAAAGAGGCCTGCAGCGGCCGATGAACAGGGCGAGTTGGTGACAGAGGTCACTCCTGTTAACAAGGAATCCAAACCCAGGCCAAGGCAAGTGGAGAAGCCAACAATACAAGGCATCGCTTTGTGTAACCTGTCAAGTGACAAGGATGGGTCATTGGCAACAGGCGTTCCGGTCAAACAGGCGAAAGCCAGCCGCATGATGGAACCCAATGGGGGGCTCGCCCCTTCGGCCAGAAGGAAATGCGAATCAAAGCTTGAGCGGGTGCTTCGTGACGGTGACTCTTTAGGCAGTGGCACCCCCCGGCACCAAGATGGCAAAGTGGAAGAAAATGGCGAGGAGGACGTAGTCGGTCGGTCAGCCAGCATGACGCCAAAAAAGAACAAGACAAAGAAAAGGAAACTTTACCTTGGGATCAGTTGTTTCACTGGCCCCCGGGATCAAGCCATTGGACCCTAGAGGTTCAGCAATGTGTGTTAGCATCTCTTGTAACCTGATAACCCAGTGACGATTTCAATAAAAGTTTATCATTTTTGCACAGAAACCCATCTGGCATTCCCCCCAACCCCCCCCAATAAACCTTGCATTTGATATCGCACCTTATCAGATCATTGAGACATAAGAACAAAAGAATTTGCCGGACGAAAGGAGACCAAGGTCCATCCAGTTCGCCTTCTGCCATCCCGCCAGTCGCTTGACATGTCAGGTCCCAAACTACACACTGTATCCCGAGACGTCTCTTGAGTGCTTCACAGAATATACTACACTGTAAAGTGGTTTGACGGTATTTTGTGGGTGGGTGAAATGCTAATAAATATAAAAAATGTAAGGCTTATTCTAAAAGCCCCAAAGTGGGGCTTGAACCCACAAAACCAGATGAGAGACCTTTGCAAGCCAGAGACCCGAGTTCGATTCCAGGCAGAGGGCGAAACCTCGGGCAAGTTTCCTTACTCCACGCAGAGCCCTAATAATAATAATCCCTCCAAAAAAAAAAAAACCCAAACAATAATAAATTGGTCATTTTCAATCCACGACGGTTTGCGGGACACTGCTGTGCCCAATTGGCTGCCGGGTTTCGCCCACAAACATACGGTCCAGTTCAGCTTTACAGTATAATCCGTGAAGCGCTTTGGGGACGTCGAGAAGACGTGAAAAGCGCTGTATCAAATGCGTGGATTGGTATTATTAATATTATTATTATTACCGCTGAAGACGGTAATAAAATATCCCAGTGCACACGTGTGCGGGGAAGATCGGAGGTGGGGGAAATATTACAGATGCTGGGAATCTGCAATAAGTACCAAAGGGCTGGGAACACTCAGCAGGTCAGGCAGCATCTATGGAGAGACAGGCCCCAGTGGGTTCACGTTTCAGGTCAATGACCTTTCGTGAGAACTGGGGGGGGGGAGGAGGAGGAGGAGGAGGAGGAGTCGCGCAAAGGATCTCGGGACGGGAGTAACGGCTTCGAATTCAAACCGCGGCTCGCGCGCCCCGCCCGCCGTTTGTGAGCATGCGCGGGCCGTGCCGCCTATAAAAGGCGGCGCCAGTGGCCCGCTCGCTCTCATTCGGTGCCCACGTCCCAGGCGGTAGGTGTTGGGTGTACGGTCGGCGGGCTGTTGCGGGCTAACCCGAGGCTTTGGGGCCTTTCGCTAGCGCCGAGAGCCTGAGACGGTCGCTCTGTCACGTTTGATTACGCAGAGGGGTGGGGGTGGAGTGGAGCGGCGTTCCGCCAGGCCCGCCCTTCTCTCAGCCCCACGAGGCCTAGGCCCGAGGCCTGCGGCAAGCGCCTGCCTCCCGAGTATAGCCGCGCTGACCGCCGCGCGGGGCTTTCCTTTCGCCGCTCGCCGTTGGTTGCCACCCCCCACCGTGTGTTCGTGTGCGGAGGCGCGTGTCGACTGGACTCTCCGCGCTCTCGGCCGTGGGGCTCTGGCTACACCATCTCCCTCAGGCTTTTGCTTCCATCATTCGCACACTCACCGTTGCATTGATGACAATGAGGCCTGGGACAAGCCGCGGCTGCGTGGCCGCAAACCTCTCCCGCGCGGTGTAATTGACGGGGTTTCCTCCCGCGTGTTTTTTTTGTTGGTGGCGGCGTCTTGTGATGTTGCAGCAATAAATTAGATTTGTATTGCGCCTTTCACGTCCGGGTTGGGGGGTTGGTGGGGGGGGGACGACGACACGGGACGTCCCAAACCGCTGGACAGTCGAGGCTTTGCTCCCGGGCTGGGGTTTGTGATTAGGAGGGCGACCAAAGTCGCGGCCGACGCGGGTCTTGGGAGGGGGGGGGGGCGAGGGAGGTTCGGTACAGATTGGTGACTGTTTGCGCCTTTCGGTGCCTCGTGCATTTTGTACGTAGTGTAATCTTTACATGTTGACAGTTATTGACCTTACAATCGTAAATGTGCAGCGCCTTGGGACGTCCTCCTGACGTGAAAGGCGCTTTATAAATGGAATCTTGTTGTTGTTGTTGTCGTTGGTCTTTTTCTGGCTCTTTGGGATGACTCTGTATGTCAGGAGTTACAGATTAATAATAGTAATAACCCTTGCATTTGATATCGCGCTTTTCACGTCGATCCCAATTCAACTCCCCAGATTCAATCCCAACTACTTTTTAATTGGGGCTCCAGCGCGTGAGTGAGTGAGTGAGACTCGAGAGTTGCGCCAGGATTTTCTGAAGAGTGCCATCTGATTACAGCGCGTGTGCCTTGCGACAAGATGGCTACCCGAGTGGTTAATGGAAGGTGCCCGAACCCAAAGCAGCTTCAAGGGTCTTCTGCGTGCAAGAAGTGAGTCTGAGATCCTGGTTAACGTTTGGGAAAAGGTCTAAATCTTCACATCAATTAGCACAATCCAAAATTTTTGTCTTGTTTAAGTAGTCAAAAATAAGTTTAGTGCTAATAGTAAACCCTTCTTTGCAACCCATGGCTGATCTTGTACAATCGGCTGTGTTACTTTCTAGAAGGAACAACTACTTTGTTCATTTCCTTAATCAACTGTTTAAGGATTCTTGCATTTGATATAGTGGTTTATATGTCCTCAAAGTGCTTGAAAGGTTCGCTGTAAAATGTGACTATTTGTTCGCGAATGTAAGATGATGTAGCATTGCAGTGATATCCTCAGGACGTGGGAATTCATTCTGCTGTATTGCAAGTGCGTTGTACAGAGCAATACATCTGTTTTAAAGCAATTACGTTGGGATGGGGAGATCGTAAGATTTAGTATTTCCAATATTTGTTGATTAAGGAGTACCTGTACTTGAGGATGCACAGTCACATAACTCGAGTTAATATTAAAATGTCACTTCAGCAGTTCTCAAAATGTATTTTTTGTATTAAGACAGAAAATGGCGCTTGAGCAAAGGAGACTGACTGCTGTCTTGCAGATGGATGATTTTTCCAACTCACGGTATGAATGTTTTCTTTTCGACCTGGACGGAAGGCTTAAAGTTGTTGTTGTGATGAATGCCAAAAATGTTCAACTGCTCTGACAGACTGTGACTGACAAGGCTATTCTGAACATTGATTCAAGTGGTCATTCTTAATGGGAATCTTTGTGCTGGCGGGAGATTTGATTTTGGGAGCACCACAAATGTTTCAGCAGGAATCACTGGATCCTTGCTGATTTCTCTTTCCCAGGATCCAGTGATGAGAGTGAAACCGGCTCTGTGGCAGTTTGCCTGCTCAGGCACTGCAAGAGAGTAGTTTTGAAGCCTTCGCCTACACTTATTCATACTGACCCACTTTATGCGTGTATGTGCTAATTATATATATTGATTTAATGTACTGTCGACCCTCAGCCAAGTCTGAAACTTGAAGCTACTCCTCATTCAAACACGTGATTAATATTGCTTTTTTGCCATTAGATTTCTTTATCCTTGATGAGATGTGAACATTAACATTAAACCTCCAGCTGAGGTAAGCAATCACAATTTGTCTTTTGTTTAAAAGTAAATTTATTTCAACACCAAAGAGTGAATGTTTTAGATGCTTTTAATCTGATAAAGTATGAAATACCTGTAGTTAGTTGCAGGAATGAGGTCTATCCCAACGGAACCTTTGCAGTGGATTCCTGTTGTTGGAAATGCCTCAAAGAACAAAATTGTAGTTTCGCTTTACCCACTGGATTGTTTCCATTAAACCAGTGTGATACAACTGCATAACAAAGCACCTAAATGAATGGAGAGGACCAAAGTCGAGTAAGCTGGCTAAATAGAAATGTATAATAATAATTCTTGCATTTGCGGGGGCAAGTTGTGCACAGCAGTGTCCTATAAACACCCACATCACATCCGAAGGACGGCACCTCTGACAATACAACACCCCAGCACTGCAGTGGAGTATTAGCTTAAACTGATTCCAAGTCCTGGCATGGAGCTTGAACCCATAACCTTCTGACTCTTGAGACTAGGGCGCTGACACGGCTTGGTACAGTTGTAATATGCAGTGATAGCATTACTGTAGTATGCAATGTTGCAAATCTTTACATAGTTTTGTGTATATTTGCAGGTCACCAATTCAAGTCAGCCCTAATCATCAATACTAAATCATTTTAGTCTTGAGCAGGATGGAGCGTGTTGAGGTAAGGAATTCATATGCATTGTCCATGTACCTAAGTGAGAGATGTTTGAACAATGACTAGGCTGTGGTGGTAAGCTGCTCATGAATAACTCTGCAATAATATCACTTAAGCCAAATGCTATTCTTGCATATTAAGAAATGGCAGTTCTGTGCTGATGATTTTTTTACTGTTCATCTGCTGTGTGACTAAATAATGAGCATTACTGACTCACTGAGCAGAACTACATTAACAGTCCACATAGACAATTTAATTTCTACTGTTTTAGTGCACCACAGATCTAATGTTGTTTTCATTTTTTTTTAAAAAGCTCTCAAACCGGGATCACCTGAAGGGATTGTTTCTCTACTTTAAAGGTACGTGGAGTATTGCTTCTGTTTTTTTGGGGGGTGGGAGATGGTTAAAACATGGTGTTTGCCTGAAAGTTTGTATGTTTAAAAAAAGGCACAATATGGTATATTAAGGTAAAAATATTTGGAGCACTTTTTAAGGGGTCAGTTATTTGTAAGCAATGTCCTGGGGTAGTGGGTAAGGTATTAACTCATGGGATTTGTGTGTCGATCCTCTGTGGTAGTTTCTATTTCACGCACTCAATGGTATCTGCACCCTTCAGAACTTCCTGATGAGGTGTTCACAAACATAGTGCTATATGAACTCAGGGTCCGGCATCGTTGGTTAGCCTGCTATCTCTGCTTGTTAACCTAGTAACTGCTGATACATGAAATACTGCACACTAATGTGACCAATGCTGCTAATAAAATGTCATCGTACAGAATGGAAATAACATTTTTTCTTTGTTTATTTCATAGGTACTTACGACAAGAATGCGCCCAGAAGGATTTCGCTGTATTAATCAGCTAATGTGGTTGTGCTGAGGTGTGTTAGCAATGTATGGGGAGTGGGCTCAGGGCAAAACTAATGACTATAATAATTTTAAGTGTTCCAATTCTGAGTCCTATTTCATGCATTCAATGATATCTGCACCCATCAGAACTTCCTGATGAGGTGTTCAAAGTAGTGCTATATGATATCAGGGTCTGGCATCGTTGGTTTACCTGCTATCTGTGCTTGTTAACCTAGTAACTGCTGATACATGAAATACTGTAAACCAGGCTGGCCTAACCTTTTGGCTGCCGTGGGCCGAATTTCCTGTTTCAGAGAGCTCCGCAGGCCGCATAGGCAATATTTTGTGTTTCTCCATTTCATGTGGAAGAAAATTTCAAAGTGCTTGATGCAGTCGGTGGCCACTTGGGGTGGGAGGGGAGAAGTGTTGGGAGGTTGGAAATGGTCTTGTACTGGTAAAATCACCTGCTGGGCTGGATGTGGTTGGACCATGCTGCTGTATACTCATGTGATTGATACTGCTAAGAAAATGTCAGAGACGCAGAAATAAAACTTTTTGCTTGTTTCATAGGTACTTAGGACAGGAAGGTGCCCGGATGGATGTCGCTGTATTCGTCAGCAAATGTGGTTGTGCAGAGGTGTGTGTGTTAACGGTTTATGGCTGGGCGATTGGGGCAAAGCTAATGACTAAATAATTTAAGTGTTAACTCTGCTCGTCTGCCTTTATTAAATTCTTTCTAGTCTTTTCTAATCTATAGCTAGAGAAACAACATCACCTTGTTTTTTCCTTCCGTTGCCCATTTTGAAATGAGGGAGCAATTGTTTTTCAATAGCCAGTTGGAATGCCCAACCTGGTTGGATTAAGAACTTAGATGTCAATGTTGGGTCAACCTCTGGTTGAAAGCTTTTCAGCAGTTGCACTTGTGGGTTCCTGTTAACTTTCAGGGTAAAAATGTCTACAGTTTTTTTTATGTAGTTGGTCATTACCAAAGCCTCCATGATTCTGGTTTCTGGATCGCTGTGGACATGACCAGAGAATGACAATCACTCCAGCTGGTTTGTAGCTGCTTTTTTATCAGTGGCAAAATTGGCTGGGGACAAGCAAAACATTGTACTACTGCTAATTTGATAGTTGAGTTTAACTAGAAGTCTCTTCACTGCCCATTCTATTCTATAGGGTAAGAATGATTTCTCTTAAGTTTAAATGTGTGTGAGGTTCACCATTCATTGCCTGTTTTGAACTAGACGGAGATCTGAAATTGAAATGAGGCTAAGGATGGAAGACCTCATCTGGGGAGTAAAGATCAGCTTTAATATCAACTGTTTGCTTCTCAGGTAATGGAGTTCATCATTGTGTGTTGCCCCGTATTTGTGGCAAGTATAAGATTAAGAGGAATTCACGGGCCATTTATAGTGTTGTCCTGCATAAATTGGTCATTTCAAAGAGGGATTGTTGGCACAGAATCCAGCAATTCTTAACGCAAGGACCAGACAATAAACCCCCCCCCCCCTGCATTAATGACTGCAGGCACTTGTGTTTTGTGGTTCTCTGTAGTGGGTTACACTGCTGGTGTGAAGGGAAAGCTTGCACATGTCGGGTTGAATAGTTAATTCAAATACATTGAATTTATTCTGGTGTAACTGCACTTGGATTCTTTCACTAAATTATGAATGGATCTGAATGTGATCTGTAGTTGATACACTATAATCATCTGAAGATTCTTTCTAATGTTGAGAAATTGTGCTCTCTCTAAAGGAACCGGTGGAACCACTGAAAGCAGCTGTACAAACTCGAGGCAGATGCACTCAGATCTACGCCAATGGGGACTCCGTTTTGTGTTCAGTGTGTTTTTGTGCTCCATGTACAAAACTAACTTACTAATGAGTTGCATTGAATGGTTATCTACTGTATTTTCAGATCAGCAGTTTTAACATTAGCAGCTGTGGCCATTCTGTAATCTCATTTCTGCTCTTTAAAAAAAACACGCACACAACTGTTTTCGTCATTGTGTTTGATTCTTGTATGTCTGGGACTTTGGGTGGGTGGACCATTGGTCCATTCCAACATAACCACAACCCTGATTATGTGCAGATTTTACCAGGCTGGTTTCCTTCGGTACACATGCTGAGGGTGTTGCGTCAGATGCTCGTCTGAGCAGGGGGCTCAGCAGTGTCGTGTGATGCTTGTGTTTCCAAACTGGTTTACAATAATAATGCTTGCATTTGATATAGAAACTTATCATTTCTTTTAGATGTCTCGAAGTGCTTCACGGAATATGCTGTATAGTTCATTCACTGTTTTGTGGGTGAAACGCGTCAGCCAAATACGCACACAAGTTTCCCACAAACAGTTGTGGATTGAATATCCAAATTATTTTTAAGGGATTATTGCCCCCGGAATAGCAATCAGTCAATCGACTAATAACCGAGTTCCTATTTTATTGCTAGATAAATCGAGGTGTAAGGAAGCTTGCCTAAGGTTTCACCTTCCCTGGGAATCGAACATGGTCCTGGTTCAGGAGCAGCAGCATGTCGGCCTGTTTGTCATAGGGAGGTATTGCTACGCTGAATGTGTGGCTGAAGGGAGATCCATCACAAGGCTGGGATTTGCTGTAAACTTCTGACTGACAAACTGGATGCAGTATATACATATTTCAGCTATTTTTCTGCCCAAAACATTGGATCTGATCCAATATATCTTCAGGCTCTGCAGCTTGATGAATTACTGTTTGGTTTGTTGCATTCAACCTGCTGTGTGAGTACACTTGCTATGTAAACTGTATGTGTTGTTTTCAATAAGATGGTGTATAATGAACAAAGATCTTGCGATAAATTTCAGTTCGGGTGGCCACGGATTGCAGTCATGATAATAAAAGCCTTTTATTGGCTTGCATTTTCAAGGGTGAAAATTTGCTAATTTGTCTACACCCAAACCACAAATTAACTAAAAGTGAACCTTTTGAGGAAATCTCAATACAATCCTTACATTTGATGTAATTGTAGGCGAGTACTGCAGCTAAACACTCATAAATCTGACCCTATTTTCTTAGTGAAGGATAAGAAGTATTCGAGGTAGAAGAGTATCTTCAATTGGGATGGTGTTTTGGCAATGGATCAGATGTAGCTCGGGTGAGGCGTTGGGAGTCTGAATGCTTGTGGTTGACTACCCTGTAGTAATGGGGTCTGACCACGAGGTGACAGGAGCGTACAGAAAATTATATCGAATCAATGGAGCAAGGTTTAAAACTTAATAGTTTTCCATTTCCAACATGTAGAAGGACTTGTTTTTTTCAACAAAAAAACACAATCTTGAGACCTGGAGCTTCATGAAGCCAGTTAAACGCTCATTGGTTTCTTTGTGTATCAGATTTATAATAATCCTTGCATTTGACCCAGTGCCTACAATGTCACAACAACTCAAGTGCTTCACTTTTAGTTGATTTGTGGTTGGGTGTAGACAAATATAGCAGCTAACTTTGCACACAGTAAAGACCGTACAAAGAGAGAGCCATCAGGTAAGTTAATTTGGAGGATTCTCTGACGTCAATGCTCAATTCTGAGAGGCGGTGACACCTTAACTTAGATTTCTGATCCAGATGTGAAGGTGCTACCAACTGAGCCAAGCTATCACTTATTCAGCAAGTTCTGACTGAGGCGAGGGGTTGACTGAATCGGTGGTCACTCAGTACCTTTGTTTGTTCTTTGCAATGAGCACCTCCATCCATCATCTACAGACTGATAACCAGGACAATCATTGACTGGAATGTTACATACAGTAGTTGGCACCATCTGGAATAAGTTACAGGTCATTGCTACGGTCCTATGCTCACCTCCTATTTGAACAGATATATAAAATGCTAGGATGTTGGGCAAGAGTATAATAGGGACCGGGAGATATTCCTTCCCAATCACTCCTTCCTCCTGCTCTCTGAGTCCCCTTAACTCATCAAGTAACTACAAGTGCTCAGTTGATTTTTGAACGGCGACGACCGATGGAAATGTTTGCCGAACTCGAACCAACTGGAGAAGTGGTAAGTGTTTTCCGAGAGGGAATCTGCCCCATTCTCAAGATCGTTGCTCCTGTTTAAGTAGCGGGGCATTGGCCATGTTTACGTATGCGTGCGGGCTGTGAGACCAGCATAACTACCTCTGTGAACTCACACGCAATCACCTGAGAGAGTCCCGGAGGCCACCATTTTTATTAAATGCTGAGGGTGACACAACGAGATGCATAGGGAAATGGTTATCTCCCGACTCTGCTGTCAAACCTATGTTTGTCAGTGACGCAGCAATAAGGGGGGAGTCGTCCTTGAATGAAGTTGCTGTGTAGGCTGTATTCACTGCAACTCACTGTAACCGAGTTATTGTGCTCGCTGTAGTTTATAAAGTGCAATATGTACAGGCTCTGAACTCGAGCCAACGGTTGCGATGTTTGCTTTGAATCTCAAAGCTCAATTCTACTTTAAACGTCTCGGTGTGGTGGGTGGGTGGGGAGGGGTCAAAGGCTGCTTTCTTTGCTACTGTGATGGATTGTTGTTGTTCGGAGCTTATAGTGGGACTTAATGATATATAATAATGTTGCATTTTATATCGCGCCTTATCACATCGTTGAGACATCTCAAAGCGTTTCACAAGTTATGTTGTAAAGTGGGATGACTGTCCTTTTGTAGATGAAACCCGGCAGCCATTTGCAATTGAAGGGATTATTACCCCCGGAAAAGATTTCCGCCAATCGACTTGATAACTGGGTACCTATTTACCGCTCAGTAAACAGAGGCGTGTGGAGTAAGGAAATTTGCCCGGTAATCAAACTTTGGGTCCTCTCACTTGCTTTCTCCATGAGCAGAACGAGTGACACCTTCCTCATCCTCGCCTTCTCTTTGATGCAATGGGACGAACACGTTTTATATACTGAGTCAGCCAATCGCAGTGGTGATGGGGGGCAAATTGATATCAGATCCCCTCTCCCCTCCCTCTGAAAACCTTCGAGCACCTCCGCCCTAACCCCTCCTCCACCCCCAAAGATCTACCCGTTCAAAAGTCTCTTTTGCCCTGGACCCCCAAATTCCCCTACCCCCTCCACCCGCCCGCTTGCTTTAATCCCTGCTTGGTGATTGCTGAGCAGCTCTGCGAGAGGCTTAGCATGTGTGAACGGGGGCCAGACAGAATGGGTTTGAAGTGCCCTCCAACAAGGAGAGTGCTTCTCGGTTAAACATTAACGAAGTAAAAATGTTAAAAGCTGTAAAACCCAAACCTACAAATGGGAATGATTGTTGTTTGAGCTGCACTATCTTTCATCTGTGCACAATTGCATCAAGGTTTGGCTGAGTCATTTCTGAATCTCAGACCTCGGCGTTGTCAGTCTGACTGCCAGCTGTGACCCACCCCGCCCTCGATGGTCGGGCTTTCACCCTTCCTGCTCCCCACCCTTTGGAACTCCATCCCACAACTCCTTTGTCTCGCCTTCTTCAAGACCCTCCTCTTCGACCGTGCCTTCAGTCACCCTCCTAACCGCTGCCCTCCACCCCTCCTGAACCCAACACCCCAGCTCGGGTCCGAATCCCTGACTGTCCCAACACCTTGAGACATCCTCCCGACCTGAAAGGGCGCTGTGCAAATGTAATTTGTTGCTGGCTCAGGCGGTAGCGCTCTCGCCTCTGGGGTGTGAGGTTGCGAGCTCATAGATCCACGACGGCACTTGTGTTGTCAGTCGAGGATGATGCTCCAGAGCAGTGGTGGGGGGGGGGGGGGACGGGACGGTGTGCAGGGGTGGATAGTGCTTCTCACTATATTTTATTCGAGGCTGGCTGGCCTCCTCCGGGGAATAAGATGTTAAACGGAGGGGGATTTCTGCCTGTTCGGTGCTGTGTGTGGGGGGGGGGAGCAAACACTAGCACAGGCATGAGGGATGTTGCAAATATCCTCTCTCTCTCTGAGCTGTAATTTGTATGATCCTGTGTTCCGTGCTCCAGAAGGAACCAAATAAATAAATGAATCGGAGCGGGAGGTAAAAAGAAAAGATTGGGAAAACGTTGCGGTTTAAACTGAGCCGGAATATTCAGTGATTGGAGCGGGACCCACAGCTGTAGGGTATTTTTTTTCCCCCCGGCCAACGAATCCTTTCTTGCGGCGAACTTAGATTGTAAGTTCAAAAGGGCAAATATAGAGAGTGTGGGGGTGGGGAAGAGGGGAAGTTAATCTAAAACTTCAGCTCAAGGTTGCTGTGCTATTGCTTCGTGACACATGTATGATTGCATCTATTATCACGTTTGCCTATCTGGCTCTCTCTTCACGTGTGAGCTGTTCGCCACACAGCAGTATCTCACAAGCGATCGACAAAGCAAAGGGTTGATTGTTGGGTCCTGCGTTGCTCGCTGGTTTGCTCACCTCCAAGACTCCGGGTCAATGGGTTCGAGCCCCTATGTTGGGGAATGTGAGCTCGCAGTGAGCACTGTGCCGGGGGGGAGTGATACCTGCTTCAGGTACCCCACACTTCCCATCCCACCACTGGTGGTCGGGCACTCAGCATCTCTGCCCTCACACTCTGAAACTATCCCGCGATCCCTCTGCCTCACCACCTCTCTTGCCTCCTTCATTTCCCGCCTTCGAGACCTTCCTCTTTGACCATGCCCTTGGCCACCCTCCCACCCCCACCACCCTGCCCTCCACCCCTCTGGACACCAACGCCCAGCTCGGATTCCAAACCCCTGGTTGTCCAGCACACTGGGACGTCTTTCCAAAATGAAGGGCGCGATACAAGTATAATTTGTTGCTGTTGTTGCATTGCCAGAGACGCCATCCTTCAGATGAGACTTTACTACCGAGATCCTGGCTTTTCAGGGCCCGAGTTTGATTCCTGTGCAGGGAAACCTTAGACAGGTTTCCTCACTCCACGCATCTCTGTTTACCCGGCAATGAGTAGGAACCTGGTTGTCAGTCGATCAGATGATCGCTTTCCGGGGGTTAATAATCCATCCCAAAAAATTACGTCACCGAATCCACGACTGTTTGTGGGACACTGCTGTACGCGATTGGCTGCTGCGTTTCACCCACAAAATGCGCAATCACTCACTCGGTATATGCTGTGAAGCCCTTTGAGACATCTCAATAACGTGATAAGGCGTTACATCAAATACAAGGATTATTATTATAACAATCATAATTCGAAACGGCGCTTTTGTGTTGGGAGGATGCCTCAAAGCGCTTCATGGGGTTAACTGTAAAGTGGAGTGACTGTGTAGATTTTTTTTTGTTGCAAGCAAATGCGACACACCGCCCTGTACGTGAAATCTGCCGGACGCACAATAAACCGTATGCTTTTGCAAATTGCGAGACTGGAAATGGGTTGACACTAGAGATAGATTCGTGTTAAATGCTGCAGATATGATGGAAAAGCACACGGACTGGCTTTCATTCCTCTCTCTCTCCCTCGCACACTCGCTTGCTCTGTGCTCGGATGCTAAGTGACCTCATACCGTGGGGGAGGGTTGTTGTTTTCGAGGCAGCTCAAGTGGTGACTGGTTTAAAGCAGAGACGTTTCACCAAAAAAACAGAGGACGGATTAGGGAGCCTGGTGATGCGGTCAAAGTGCCTCAGGAGAACACCGGCAGCGGCGATCGTTCCCAAACTTTATTTTATATATAATAATTAAATGGATGTTGCAATTCGCACATTCAGTCACCCTCCTACCCCTACCCTCCACCAACACCCCCACCCAACCCCCAACTCGGGTCCAAATCCCTGACTATCCAGCACCTTGTGAAAGGCTCTACACGAATGTAATCGGTTGTGGTTGTTGTTGTTGTTGTTGTTGTAATGACAGTTTTTCATTGCGGTCTGCTGTTTTATAATAATGCTCATCCTTGCATTTGATTACAGCCCCAGGTCGGGGGTCGGTGGGGGGGGGGGGTGGTCACGAACCACTTCGCAGGTGAAGTGTAGCAACCGTGAGTTTTGTGGGTGAAACGCGGCGACGGAGTGCGTAGCCTCCTGTGGTGATTCTTTCCCCCCTCTTCACGCCGCACTTCCCAATAAAATAAATGGGGTGGTGGGGGGGGGGGATCGACAAGTCTCAGAGCTCAGTGCTGGCTGTTGAAAGCCCCGAGTAACTGAGTGGCAACGTTGCAGTAATGAGTTGACCAGTCGCTGGGGGCAGGGAGTCACCCCACTCATCTCCTGTTAACCCTGCAAGCCAAAGCACTAATGGGTGGGGTGGTCCTAGCTGGACAAGCGGGGGGCGGTGGAAAGCGTACCCGGACAGCCTGGCGATACCAGGGGTCAGCTATGCGGTTTTAGCTGGTTATAGACTCCAGCAGTCACCCCAAAGTGCACACTCTGGGGTCGTGCCCACCCGCCCTCCCCCAAGCCTCGGCTCTTGCCAACCCCTGCGCGTAATACCTTGCGGAATCAGGTAAGCGGGATGCGTCCCTCCAGGGAGGGAGGGAGGGAGAGAGAGAGAGAGCGCGCGTGCGTGTGCGTGCGCGTGCGTGTGCGCGCATTCCACTCCGACAACCCACGGCTGGGATGTCCGCGGGAGGGCGGGGAATCCTCAGCTTGGTTTGGATGCTCTTGAGCAACCGTGATGGGTGGTCTGCTTGTGCCAGACAACAAGCTGGTCAAAAGGTGTGTGGGTGTGTGTGTGCGTGCATGTATGTATGTATGTATGTATGTATGTGTGTGTGTGTGTGGGGACTACAATTCCCAGGCTGCTAAGAGCACATGTGTTGGAGACCTGGGTAACTGAGTGGTAATGTTGGTTATACTGTGACTCGCTGTCTGGTTACAGCGACTTCTGCTGGTTTCAGCAGTGTGCAAACTGCCTTCTCTCTCTCTCTCTCTCTTATTTTTCTCTCTCTCTCATCTTTCTCCCTCCTCCTTCTCCTATTTCTCCTCCTCCCTTCTACCTCTCTCTCTCTCTCTGTCTCTCTCTCTCTCTCCCTCTTCCCCCTTTAAATGTTTTTTTCGCTGATCAAGTAGTGGGTAGTCAGGGCAAAGCCACAAAAAAGGTGTTTTTATCCTAAATTTGATATATATATAGATATTTATTATTTTCTCTTGCATTTTCTCTCTCTCTCTCTCTCCCTACCTCCCCCCTCTCTCTCTCTCTCTCTATATATATATATCTTGCTCTCTCTTCTCTCTCTCTCTCCCCTCTTGTTGCAAAAAAAAAACCCCATAATCTCTCCCAACTAGATGGTCCACAGATGAGGAGGAAAAAAAATGGAGCTGCATATTTTGGAACACAGGCTGAAAGTGGCGAGTATAGTGAAAGAAGGGATCCAACTCTTTACCCACGCATTAATAAAGCTCGCTTTCCTGCCTTCAAAGACGAGGTGAGTTGCACATATTTATTGCAAAGAGAGAGAGAGAGAAAGAGAGAGAGAAAGCAATTCAGAAATGCAAAAGGGGAGGAAAAAAAATCCCCCCCCCCACACACACACACACACACAAGGGAGAGGGGTTGGGGGGGGGGGTTGGTTGGGGGGTTTGGGGGGTGGTCAATAACTGTCTTTCCTTTGCATTTTTCTCTCTGCTTTTGTGTGGAATTTCTTGCATTTTTGTTTTTTTGCGCAAAATGTCATTGCATCGCAGGTAAAGAAAAGGGGGAGTTGAAAGCACAGATTAAGTGCACGAACCTTCCCCTCTTTTTTTTCTCTCTTCTCTGTCTCTCTCTCTCTCTCTCCCTCCAGTGAGACGTTCATTGTCAATTGCTTTGCTCTCTCTCTCTCTCTCTCTCTGTGTGTGTTGTGTGTAATATCTTTATTATTGATCTACAATATGAAAGATCTCTCCCCCCCAAAAAAAAGTTCTGTGTGTGTGTGTATTGTTCTTGTGGTGGGGGAGAGACACAGAGAGAGAGAGAGAGAGAGAGAAGTGGAAGATTAAAGTTGGAATTGTTTTTTTTAGGAGGTGGGGAAAAGGGGAAAAGGGGAGAGAAGGGAGCAATGAGGAATGGTTCCATAGATCGGCCTTTAATTTGGGGACCTCGATTGGAGCTGCTGTTAGAAACCGATTGGTGGACAGACAGAGAGAGAGTTGGGGGGGGGGTGAGAGGAGAGAGAGGAGGGGAAAGGGGGGGTAGAGAGAGGGGGGGGAGAGGGGGGGCCATGAGAAAGAGAGGGGCAGAGAGGGGGGAGGGCAGAGAGAAAGAGGGGGAGAGGGGGGTAAGAGAGAAAGAGAGGGGGGGCACAGAGAGAGGGAGAGGGGGTAAAGAGGGAGAGAGGGGTGGGGGGCAGAGAGGGGGAGAGGGGGCAGAGAGGGGGCAAAGAGGGGGAGAGGGGGGGCAGGGAGAGGGGGCAGGGAGAGGGGGGCAGGGAGAGGGGGGCAGGGAGAGGGGGGGCAGGAGAGGGGGCAGGGAGAGGGGCAGGGAGAGGGGGGGCAGAGAGGGGGAGAGGGGGCAGAGAGAGAGACTCAGAGAGAGAAATCTCTCAGTGTTACATTGTTTCTCTGTGTGTATCCCTTCAGCTGAGGTTTGGATCAGAAACCCGCACTGACTCTCATTACTCCCCTTTGCACTGAAACTGCTCCCCCCAACCCCCCCCCCCCGGCTCCCCCCCCCCCCCACAACCCCCCTCTGCCCCCCCCCCCCCACACACAAACCCCCCTCTGCCCCCCTCAGTGACAGTGACAGCGCGTCTGTGGCCAAAGCAACTTGTTTACTGACACCAACAAAGAAATAGTCATTAAAAAGGATACACACACACAGACCACATACACACACACAGACCACATACACACACACAGACCACATACACACACACAGACCACATATACACACACACAGACCACATACACACACACAGACCACATACACACACACAGACCACATACACACACACAGACCACATACACACACACAGACCACATACACACACACAGACCACATACACACACACAGACCACATACACACACACAGACCACATATACACACACACAGACCACATACACACACACAGACCACATATACACACACACAGACCACATATACACACACACAGACCACATGCACACACCAACCAATCACATACACACAACCATACAACACACCACAGACACCACACCCATACACACACAGAGAGACCACACACACAGACCACATACACACACACACACAGGCCACATACACACACACGCACACAGGCCACATACACACACACACAGGCCACATACACACACACACACACAGGCCACATACACACACACACAGGCCACATACACACACACACAGGCCACATACACCCATACACAGACCACACACACACACAGACCACATACACACAATAAACCCCCCACATAAACCACACACACAAAAACCACCCACACCCACAAACCACATTCTCGCACACAAACCACGTAAACACCCTCCCCCCACACCCCCCCCCACACACCACACCACCCACACCCACCCCCCCCCACCCACCCCCCCCCCCACACCCACCCCCCACACACACCCACCCCACCCCCCCACACCCACCACCCCCCCCCACACCCACCCCCCCCCACCACCACCACACCCCACACCACCCCCCCACACACCACCCCACACACACACACACCCCCACACACCACCCACACACACCACACACACACACCCCCACACCCCCCCCCCACACACACACACCCACCCCCCACACCCCCCCCCCCCACACACACACCAACACACACCCCACCCCCCCCCACACCACACACCCACACCCCCCCCCCACACACACCCCCACCCCACACACCCCCACACCCCCCCCCACACACCCACCCCCCCCCACACACACACCCCACCCCCCCCCCACACACACACACCCACACACACACACCCACACCCACACCCCCACACACACACACACACCCACCCCCCCCCCCCACCACACACACCAACCCCCACACCCACAGACAGACACACACTCACATTCTGATTTGAATGTATTTGTTTTGCTTCGATGTATATTTATATCTGATATAATGGGAGAGAAGGAGAAGCCACGATCTTCTGCAATTGTTATGCAGTATAAGGTTTTCTTCTCGTTCATCTATACTTTTACTGTCTTTGTTTGAATCCAATGTCAGACACAGAATATTTTGCTGACAGAGAAGGGGAGGGGGTGGGTGGTGGGTGGGGGGGGGGGGGGGAGGAGAGAGAGAAAATGCACATATTGTGTTTTTTTTAATAAAAAAGGGAACTTTCAGATGTTTTTGTGTTAAAAAATAATATCTATAAACCCTACGTATATATATAATTCAAATTTTAAATCATAATTCATCCAAATCAGATGATTTAAAAAAAATCCCTCCAAATACATCCTCCTCCAACGACCACCCCCCACCCCCACACCCCCAGGAAGGGTGAGATTTATTTTATTGATCGATCAACACTTATTTTTATATAAAGAAATATATACAGTGTATGTCCATCTATCTATTTATCTATTAATGTTCTTTGTTTGTATCAGTCTGACCTCTGCTGTATTTGGAGGAGAGAATGAGAGAGTGTGTGTGGGGAGTGGAGAGACACCTTATTCTTTTTGTATTGTCTGTTTTCTGGGGTTATATCTGATTTTTTTCTGCACAAACCTTGATCTCTGTGCCCCTCCTCTCGTTCTCTGTCTCTCGATCTATATATTGCTCTCTACTGTGTATCTCTCGGTCTCTTTCTCTCTCTGTCTCTGTCTCTCTCTCTCTTTCTCTCCCACCTCCCCTCTCCCTCTCTCTATTACCTCTCTCAATATCTCTCTCCCTCCCCCTCTGTATTTTTTCCCCCTCTCTCTCTGTATCTCTCCCCCTCTCTCTGTATCTTCTCCCCCCCCCCCCCCCCCCTCTCTCTCTGTATCTCTCCTCATCTCTCCTTCTTTGTATCTCTCTCCCCTCTGTATCTGCCCCACTCCTGTATCTCTCCCTCTCCTTGACTCTCTGTCTCTCTCTGTATCTCTCCCTCCCTCTCTCTGGATCTCTCTCTCTCTGGATCTCTCTCTCTCTCTCTGGATCTCTATCTCTCTCTCTGGATCTCTATCTCTCTCTCTCTCTCTCTCTGTCTCTCTCTCTGTCTCTTACCTGCCAAAGCAGAAATGCAACTCATCCTCAGTGCACACTGACCCCCCCCACTCCCCCCACACACACACTCCCACCTCCTGCTGATTGCAAACAGAGGAGAATCGCTTCTCTGATACAAAACCCATTTGACAATGTGTTAGTTTGTTTATGTAAAGCAGCTGCAAGTTTTTTTTTCTTGGGTTTTAAGAAAGAGAAATGGAGCCAGCTTTGTTTAGTTTATCACAAGCCCAGCCTGGCGCAGCGCACGGATACATTACCCAAACCCTGCTCCATCGGGAATAACGTTAACTTCTTCAGTTTTACATTAAACCGACAACTCGCCCCTGTCTTAACTTGTCACTAACCCACTTAATCGTCTTGCCGTCAATACCTCCACTGCAATTATTTACGTGTAATAATAATAATAATAATCCTTGCATTTGATATGCACTGCAAAATTACATTTGCACAGCGCCTTTCTTGTCGGGAGGACGTCCCAAGGCCCCGGGCAGACCCGGGAGGTGGACCCGAGCTGCGGGGGGGGGGGGCGGGGGGGGTGACCGAAGGCTCGGTCGAAGAGGCGGGTTTTGAGACGCGACTTGAAGGAGGCGAGGGAGGGAGCGAGGCAACGGGAAGATGGGATGGACTTCCATGGGGTGGGGACAGAAAGGCTGAAGGCCTGGGCACCGATGGTGAGGTGGGCGGGATATAGTGCCTTATCACGTCATTGAGACGTCTCAAAGCGCTTTACAGATTGCATTGTAGAATGGATTGACTGTGCATTTTGTGGGCGAAACGTATTTATACAAATGCCTAACTCGCTGCTCCTGATAACTGGTCACTGAGCCCTTTTCCCCCTGGAACGATGAGTTATCAGGAGTTTTGCTGTGTATGTGTGTGCGTGTGTATGTGTGTGTGTGTGTGCACAATTATGCTGAGCTGTTATTGTATTGAAAGTGGCCAAAGGGCAGGCTTGTGGTAAACGTGATAGAAAGTGAGACGGATGACTTGTCAGTTCGCAAACAATAGAAAGGAGACAGATTCCTACAGGGCTACGATAATCATCCCGTTGCCATTCTCGGCCTCTTCCTCTGACGCTGGCGTTTTTACTGTCCTCACTCTTACTCGCACGAGACGTTAAACCGAGCTGCCGCGTCCGCCTGTTCAGGTGGACGTTAAATATTCCGCGGCGCTGTTCGGAAAGAGAATGGAGTTTCTCTCTCCTGTTGTCATGACCGACAATCTCTCTCCCCCCCACTCCCCCCCACCCACCCCACCAAATAAAGTCGGTTTCTCGCTCCACGGTTGTTTGTGGGACACTGCTGCGCGTAAACTGGCTGCCATGTTCGCCCACAAAATAATCCAGTCACTACACTTTACAACGTAGCCTGTGAAGCGCTTTCAGACGTCCTCCCAACATGAAAGGCGTTACACCAAATGCAAGGATTATTATTGTTAGAATTTACAACACTTTGCATGCACAGGATAATTTACAGCACAGAGAAGGCCATGTTGGCCGGTCTGGGACAAGCCCCGATAGAGTTCCAAAACCCAATTGGGGAAATGCCCCCCCTACCCCCCCCCCACCACCCACCACCACCACCCCATCTCTGCATGAGTGGAGCAGAATAGAGAGAGAGTGGTGTGGTCAGCAACTCCGGGGGAGGTATTTATATCGAATGCTCTCCTTTTACCACCCAAAGGAATGTTCCCTTTTAAGACGGATCATCTCCACACAGCCACCGGGGTGGTTGGGTGGGGGGCGCGGGGGGGAGAGTAGTGGTGGGTTTGATGGGGGGGGGGGGCTACAGATCCTGTAGCCAACGTGGAATCTGCGATGAAAGTCATTGTGCGCAATTGGCTGCCGCGTTTCGCCCACGAAATACACAGTCAACCCACTTTACAGTATATTCTGTGAAGCGCAGTGAGACATCTCCCATCAAATGCAAGGATTATTATCTCAACACACAAAGGTCCCTGGCTCCAACCTCCCATTGGGAGATCATCTCAGGTGGGACCGTAATTGGTCTCTGTCTCTCCCCGGGGGGGGGGATTGGGAGAGGCAGAGGGAGAGGAGATAGAGAGAAGGAGACAGAGAGCCGAGCAGTGGAGAGAGATTGAAGAAGAGGAGAAAGAGAGAGCAAGGAGCGGGGAGAGACAGAGGAGAGAAAGAGCGAAGGAGTGAGCGAGTGAAGGAGAGAGGGAGGAGAAGAGCAAAGGAGAGAGAGAGAGCGAGAGAGAGGTGAAGGGGAGAGAGAGAGGAAAGAGAGACAGTCAAACTCACCGCCCCCCACCACCACACACACACACATTCTCACTGGAATGAATTTTCAGGAGTATTACCCATTAATTGTGATTTGCGTCTTTTTTTAATATATTCCTACAATAACTTGTGTAATATGCAGTGAAACCGTTTTACTGTAAAAATAACTGGAGCTATTTGCAGATGATTCATCTGTGGCCGCAATATTTTTAGACGTGAGAAAAGGCTGTTGATGCCAAAGTGTGAGAGATTCGGTCCGAGAGCACAGACACCAAACTACACAGACGGCTCTCATCGTTCAGCATTCAGTCGCTCTCGCTCTCTCTTGCCTTTGGGGTCAGAAGAGATGAATAACAATAATAATAATAATAAATAATACTAATAATCCTTGCATCTAATATAGCCCTTTATCACGTCGTTGAGACATCTCAAAGCGCTTCACAGGATATACTGTAAAGTGTAGTGACTTGTGTATTCCCCCCCCCGCCTCCCGCCCCCCACCCAACCCCAAAAAATGCGGTCACTCAATCCACGACTGTTTCTGAGACGCTGCTTTCCGCAATTGGCTGCCGCGTTTCGCCCACATAATACTGTATATCCTGCAAAGTGCTTTCGCTTGGAGCCAGGCCGGTGATGTAAAACTTTGCGGAGAGTTTGGGAATAGAAAGGAACAAGTTCTGGAAGTGCAAACAGTAACAATAATCTCTTTGCCTTCACAGCTCCGGCTTTGTCAGCGTAGCTTTTGTTAGATAAACCGTTCGGTGCCACAGCTGAACAGGCTGCCCATCAGTCTCCGCCCAGACACATGGCTGCCTGGCTCTGTCCTCGCCCAGTGCCCCTGTGCCCCTCAGCTCTCTGCTCCACCCCCCCACCCGACCCACCCACCGACGCCCATCCCACCCCCGCTCCTTCCAAACCCAGGGTCAACGGTAATCCCCAAGTGGGAACCACAAAACTTGTCTCACTCGGCTCCCGTTAACCCTGCAAAAGGGGGGCTGAGCGCTGAGATCAACTTTTTATTTTATTTTATTTGGGGGGGATTTTATTGGTGGGGGGGGGGGGAATATTGGCCAGGACACCAGGAGAGAGGAATTCCCTTCTCTTTCCGAACAGCTCCATGGAATCTTTTAACGTCCACCCGAACAGGCAGACGAGGAGCGCGGTGTTACGTCTCACCCGAAGGATGACACCTCCGACAAAGCAACACGCCCCCCAGCACTGCAATGGAGCATCAGATTAGACTGTGTGATTCTAAGTCTCGAGGGTGGGGCTTGAACCCACAAGCTTCTGACTTAGAGGCGAGAGAGAGCTACCATTGAGCCAGGCTGACCCACAACTCGGAGCAACAGACCAGATGGATTAAAATCTGTGGCTCTTCTGCCCCTGACCACCACCCCCACTCCCCCCCTCCACTCCTCCCCCACCACCCCGTTGCATTGGGTGTTGTGCTCATTTACGTTGGGTGTTGTCTTTGCCCTCTCGGCTATTGGAGGAAACGTGGAGCCTGAGAGAGTAAACAGCCGGAGCCAGTGCCAGAGGCCCTATATTTAGTCGGTTTGGCTGGTGCCAGCCTGGGCTAGACCCTCGAGGGCTGCACGTGAACCTAACTCGTTCTACGAAATTAATTCCAAGCGGAGTTGGCGTGGGTGAGTGCGTGTGTGTGTCTGGCGTGTGACGCACTCAGGCGATGCTGCGGCCTCACCCTCTCCCCTCCTCCTCCTCCCCTGGCCCCCCAGCACTGCACCGGAGCATCAGCCTGGACTTGAACATGGGGTTGTGGTGGGGGGGGTGGTGGGGGTGTGGGATTCAGACCCAGAGAGAGAGAGAGAGTGAGAGAGAGCGCAGCTGAGCCAGGCTGACACTCCGCATCTGAAGTTTCCCAACACGACACTTCACCACCTTTGTCCACTCCAAACAACTCGGGTGTCGTTTTGTCCACGAGGCTGTTTTTCTCTCTCTGGTTCCTGGGAAATTGCCGCAGGGAATGTGTGGGCGGGAGGGAGGGAAGTGGATATTTACCGGAAAAGAAAAAAAAAATTGCAAGGCTGTGGGGGAGTGGGACATCATCATCAACAACAACAACGTGGGCAGAGTCTTGGAGCGCTTAACAGTGGCAGAGCCTGGCACCCAGCCGACGAGTTGGTCGCTCTTTCAAAGAGCCGGCACAGGCATGGTGGGCCGAATGGCCTCCTTCTGTGCTGTAAGGTTCTAGGAAGGGGTCCTGAGCTGATTAAGAGATGCTAAAGCAACTGAGGTGTACACAGTGTCCAGTCACGTCAGCAGGGGCTTGGGGGGGAGGGAGGAGGGGTGGGCTTCATATAAATTCCCCCAAAAATGTTAATCCAATTGCGTGGAAATTCCACAGTGGGATTAGAACGGCCTCGCAGCTCGCGGAAAACTCTGGGAATTAAGAGGATTGCCCTGACTTTTGTTATTCCCAATTAATGAGTGTTCGGAACAAGGAACCCAGTGTTGCGTTGGCGCAAGGACAGAGTTCAAGGCTCAGCCCTCGTCAGTGTAGTGCGTGGCCCCCGCTCGCTCGCTAACTGGGTCGCTCGCTCACCCGTTCACGGTAATAACGCATTGGCTGGACAGGAAGTCTACGGACCTGGGTCACGTAAATAATGGATTGAAATGTGAGACCGGCTCCTTTCACAAGGAAACTCAGCAAACTTTTCAGGAGTCTCTCTCTCTCTCTCTCTCTACCAGACATTCCCACTCATCAACCGCGTCGGGAGGGCGCTGTGTATAAATGCAAGTTGTCATTGCTGTCACTGATTGAGGGGTCCGTTTTATTCACGGTCCACTCAGCTTTCACAAGCTCCTCTGACTTGCCCCCTCTCCTCCGTTCCCACTTTCATAGCCGCCTTTGATCTCCCAACGCCACCCCCCCCCCCCCACCCCATCTCTCTGTCTCCCCTCCATGTCTCCATAACAGCACTCACTTCGACCCCAATCGTCCCCCCAATCAATCTCATCAATCCGACTCTTCGACGAGTTTATTTTAGAGGAAAGACGGCAAGTACAAACAGCAAGGTGTCAGTGTTAAAGTCTTTATCTTGTGGTTAGACGTTGTACAGTGTTTGTAATCCCTCGTTAATATTAAAACGCTTTAAATTAAGTGATGGGCATTGGACGAGAGCTAACTTTCTCCAGTTGAATGTCAACGAGACCCTCCTAATTGGCTCCCGTCAGCGCCTCCGCACCTCAGGCACTGACAGCATCACCATCCATGGATGCTCACTCCACCTTACAGGGTCAGTCAGGAACCTAGGTGTCTTGTTTGACCCTCAACTGTCCTTTCTACCCCACATCCTCTCGTTTCTCTCTCTCTCTCTCTCTCTCTCTCTCTCTCTCTTTCTCCCGCTTTCTGTCTCACTCTCACACGCTCTCTTTCTCTCTCTCTTTCTCTCTCTCGTGCCGCTATCTCTCTATTAAGTGTCACACACTGTCTCACTCTCACTCTCTTTCGCTTGCTCTCTCTCTTTCTCTCACTCTCACACTCTTAACTCTCTCTCTCTCTCTCTCGTTCCTCCAGATGCAAGTTCTTCAGCCTGATGGAGACGCCCGAAGACTACACTATAATCGTGGACGAGGAGGGCTTCAAGGGTGAGAACATAATTATAATAAGCGTCACACACTCTCTGTCTCTCAGGGGTAAGAATCTCCCTGTAAAAGTCACCCGCCTGCAAAACGCACCATCACTGCACTTCACAGCAAAAGTCCAGGGTAGTGCTTTGAGATGTCTCGACACTGAAATGGGGTGGGTGGGGGTGAGTGGGGGGGGAGCGTTTCCCTGACCTGTGGGGGGGCGGCGAGGGGATGCTTTTGCTCCCAAGAGCTGCCAAACTAACAATTGGCAACTTGTTTGATTCTAAATCTATAATTACAGAACAGAGGAGGGTCTGTTTTTGGGAGGGTGTGTGTGTGTGTCTGTGTGTGAGGTGGGGGGTGGGAGTGAGTGAGGGGGAGGGGGTGCTGAGACTTGGAATGGAAAAGGATTTAATTGTTTACTAGTGTTGGATTAACCAGGAGCTTTTAAGAGAGGCCGTTAGCTGATCGCTCCAAAAACAATCTCTCGCTTTATTTCTGTATGAGTTGCTTGGTGTGGAGTGTGCGGGGAGCCACATACAGCCCCCCCTCCCCCATCCCCGGCAGATTAAGAGGTGGGCGTGCGGAGAAATCAGATGGCGGGGAGGGAGGGAGGGGTTGAGACCGAGAGACGCAGAGAGACTATGTGGAAGTATGACAGGGATGTAGCTGGGGTCAAGGGGTTTGAGGTGAGGTGCAATTAAAAATAATAATAATTTGGTCACTCAATCCACGACTGTTTGTGGGAACGCTGCTGTGCGCAATTGGCTGCCGCGTTTCGCCCGCAAACTATGCAGTCACTTCACTTTACACTATAACTTGTGAAGCGCTTTGAGACGTCGCTAAGACGTGATATGGTGCTAGTGTCAAATGCAAGAATTATTATTATTATTATTATTATTACCAACCGGGCACAGACCTGACACCCCGTTTCCTGGCGTCTCAGACTCAGGAAGACGTCTCCCACACAGGGTTCACTTCAGTGTAGTGACTGCTTTTGTAGGCGAACGTCTCATTCGTAAACAGTGACGGGACGGCCGGACGGACTGTGAGGCTGGGGAGTCACATGTCGTCCGGTTAATAATTGCTGAACTAATTTTGCCATTTTTAATCCAATTTTATCAATTGAATTAACTAGCTTCTTGCCTCATTTAATTTTTGGTCAGATTTGTTCTCAAAGGTCAACTAATCCCGAGCTGCTGACTGTTTGTCCCCAACAGCCATGTTCAAAGCTGGTCAAGGTCACTTGTGTGTGTGTGTGTGTGTGTATGTGTGTGTGTGTGTGTGCACGCATGTGTGTTTGTGAGCACACTCTAGGCTCAAACCAAGAGTGTCTTGGTGCCTGTGTGTGCGTGTGTGTGTCTGTCTGTCTCTCTCCCTCTTTCAGTAATCTCAAAGACAAGCTCTCTGTATTGGTGTCATGCTGACACGTGTAGTGACTGTGTGTTTGTAGGCAAACGCCGAAGGCTGCGCAGGGAGGGTGGGGTGGTTGGGGGGGGGGGGGGGGAGGGAAGAGAAGGGGGTCATTTTACAGTAAACGGTCAAATGAAATTATTATCATTATTATACTCTGCGAATCTCTTCGAGACGGTGGGGTGGGCAGGGCGGGGGACATGGAGTTAGAGTTAGACGGAGCCCGCTGAGTGGAGAGGTCGGACAAGTCGGTACGGTCTTGCAAGGAAATCCGGTCACTAACACAGCTGCTGGCTTCTCTCCCCCTCCCCCTCGCCCCCTCCCCCTCCCCCCTGCAGAGTTGCCGGTCACCGATCTCCTGAGCGTGGCGGGGGAGACCTGGCTGGCGCTGAACGTGGTGTCGGGGGGTGGCAGCTTCTCCAGCTCACAGCCCATCGGGGTCACCAAGATCGCCAAATCCGTCATCGCTCCCCTCGCCGACCACAACATCTCTGTCTTCATGCTCTCCACCTATCAGACCGACTTCATCCTGGTAAGGCTCAGCTCGCCCCCCCCCCCAATGCCCGACCCCCACCCCCCCCACCCCAACCTCTCGCTGCTGCGCGCAACTGGCTGCCGCGTCTCGCCCACAAATCGCACACAGTCACTTCACTTTACAGTATGTTCTGTGAAGCTCTGTGTGACGTCTCTCGCTGAGCTGAGCAGTAGAATGGGGTTGGGGGGGTTGGGGGGGCGCTGGGAGGAGGTAAGCCCAGACGAAGAGGAAGGGCCTCAGGCGCGATGTGAAGACTGAGATGGTCCGAGAGGTTTTTTATGCTGCGTTTTCAACCCCCCCGCCCCCCTCCCCCAGGTGCGGGAACGAGACCTGCCGCTGGTGATCCACACGCTGTCGGCAGAGTTCACCATCCTCAGGGTCATCAACGGTGAGACCGTCGCTGCCGACCACTTAGGGATCACCAACGGGTTCGTCAAACCCAAGCTAGGTGAGTGAGAGCCATACAGAGAGGCTCACTCACTCACTCACGCACGCACGCACTCACTCACTCACTCACTCACTCACTCACTCACTCACTCACTCACTCACTCACTCACTCACTCACACGGACGCACATGCACACACAGAGGCACACGTATACATATGGAATGAAACGCAAGGTGTGTCGTACGTGGAGGCTACAGCGCCCAAGACTGGGTGTCGGTGTCTGCGCTGAAAGGCCTTATGAGCGACTGCTGTTCTCTTGTCTGTCACACAGTTCAGAGGCCGGTCATTCACCCCCTCTCCAGCCCCAGTAACAAGTTCTGCGTGACCAGCCTGGACCCGGACACACTGCCCAGCGTAGCCACCCTCCTCATGGACGTCATGTTTTATTCCAACGGGTAAGTTCCCGAGGGTCACCGTAAGGGGAGAGACTGAAGCAACAGGATAGGAATCAAGCCGCACACGCTGTCTGTTCAATCCCTTGGTGACTCTCTCTGAGATGTCCTCCCGCTGTATATATCGAATGCGAATTAAAATTATTATTTGTGTTTCGCCCATGAAGTACGCAGTCAATCCAGTTTACGCTGTATCCTGGGTAGCGCTTTGAGACGACGTGATACGGCGCTGTATCAAACGCGAGGATTATTATTGTTATACGTTGGATCTGGAAGTCGAACATTTTTCTAGCGCGGGGAGTGTGAGGTGCGGAGTGTTGGCACCTGGTTTGGTTTCTCGGGGGTTGGGGGGGGGGGAGCGGAAGCGGTGATAACCCAAGTGCCGTTGCGTCTCCAGGATGAAGGACTCGGCCACGAGCTGCGACGACAATGGACATATTCGCTTCTTCTCGTTCTCCCTTATTGAGGGCTATATCTCCCTGGTGATGGACGTGCAGACACAGCAGAGGTAACGATGGGGCTTTGGCGATTGGTCGCCGTGATAAGGCGCTATATCAAATGCAAGGATTATTATTAGTAGTAGTAGTAGTAGTAGTATTATTGCTCTGTTGCTCTTATCTCTCTGCCGTTGTCTCACTTCCCCCAGGTTCCCCAACAATCTCCTGTTCACCAGCGCGTCCGGTGAGCTCTGGAAGATGGTTCGTATCGGTGGCCAACCGCTCGGCTTCGGTAAGTGACCCACGCTCGCACCGAGCCCTGAGTTGTGGGGGGAGTGGGTGGGTGGGGCGGGGCGGGGTGGGGGGGGGGGTTACGTGTTGTTACGACTCGGGACGTAACGGGGAGGGGCGGCGGGGGGAGAGAGGGCGGGGGAGTGTGCAGACGGTAACAGCGCGACTCTCTCCCCGGCAGATGAGTGCGGGATCGTGGCTCAGATCGCTGAGCCCTTGGCCGCGGCCGACATTCCCGCCTACTACATCAGCACCTTCATCTTCGACCACGCCCTGGTAAGCTCCACCGCCCGCCCGCCCGCCTGCTCGTGCGGCCGCGCTTGAGGGTGGGTTGTGTGGGGGTAGGGGCGGTGGGGGGTGGGCTGATCCTCGCATGTCCATGTTGGCCACTTCTGTTACAGTTATAAGACGTGGATGTGTTGTGTGTGTTGCGTGTACGGCTTTACTCCCCGCTCCCCGCTCGCTCGCTTCAGTGACTGTCAGCACATTGCTCATTGTGTGTGTGAGCCGGGAATGTCAGCACGGCACTGGGTGCTGCGCTTGCTGTGGTTTTACTCTCTCTCCCTCCCTCCCTCCCTCCCTCTGTGTGCGCATGTTTCTGTCTCTCACGGTCTCACGCTGTGAGGGTGTGTACACGTCTTTCTCTCACTCTGTGTGTGTGTGTGTGTGAGACACTGTGTATGTGTGTGGGTCTCCCTCTCACACTATGTGTGCGTCTTAGTCTGTTTCACTCTCTCTGACACTGTGTGTGTTTTTTCTCTCTCTCTCTCTCTCTGTGTCGGTCGGTCTGTCTGTCTGTCTCTGTCTGTCTGTCTCTCTTGCCAATGTGAGTTTACACCGCCCGCTTGTTATTCACTCTCAGTGGGGCTGGGCTCGTGTGCAAAACAAAAATTCCCTGACTCATCGCTTTTTGCAGCCAGCGTTCCTAGACCTTTCCTGCTCAATGAGCTGCTGTTGTGTGTGGTCTGTTGTTTGTCCAGCAATGTCTCCTCTTGTTAGTTTGTCATCAGCCCCGAGTCACTGATGTGATCGCAGAGACAGTATTACCCCTACGCGCTGTACTGTACAAATGCAAGTTGTTGTTGCATTTACCCGAGGATTGTAATCGTAATATTGGAATTATCATTATTATTGTAAATTGATTCCTTTTGTGTGTGCGTGTGTGTTGGGGTGGTGGCGGTGGGGGTGGGGGGTGGGCAATGCTTTGGTGTGTGTGTACGCGTGAGTGTGTTTTTTTTCCTGTGCCGAAGGTTTTGAAAGTGTGATTGATTTCCAGGTACCCGAAGAAAATATCAACAGCGTAATCAACGCTCTCCAAGTCAGTCAGAACAAGAAGCAGTAAAGTGGTCGGTAGATGCTGCGCGGAGTGGGAATGGTGAATTTCAGGGGAGAATCCTCTCGGGAGGACGGTGACGGGAGCAGGCGGCTAGTTTTGTGAGGGCGGGGGTGCAAGGGTGGGGGGTGGGGGAGAGAGAGACACAGGGAAGGGGGAGAGGAGAGGGTGGGGGGGTGGGGGGTGGAATAACCCGCCCCACTGCTCGAAACCCTAACCCAAAACGTGAATGTTAACCACTGTGGTCTTTGTGTGAATCCGTGTTACATTTGTATTGTTTTTTAACACCTTGATGTAGCCCCTTCCCATTCCCCACCAAACCCCCCACCCCCCGCGCTCCACCGCCGATGCCTCGCACCCACCCCCACTTCCCCATCCCCTCAGCCCAACGCCCCCCCACCCCCGTCTCTTCCCAGGGGGGGAGGGGGTCAAGAGCTTTTGTGATGTGAGCTCTGGGCTGTGTGTTTCCGAGCACAGACAGTGATGGGGAGGGGTGAGGGGGGGGAACTTTACTCTGCACCGTGTGTTAACCACGTGCAAACACGGCCCCGTCCATTATGCACCACGTGTTAACCGTGTGCTAACGCAGCTGCATTATGTGCTGTGAGGCGCTTTGAGACGTCTCGGAGACGTGATAACGACGCTCTGTCAAATGGGAGGATTATCGTCGCGTGCACCCGTGTAAAAGAGAGTGAATCGCAGTTGCGCAGAGTTAATAACCAGACAACAACCGTTCTCTGGGTAATTACATCAGAGTTCCCTCATTGCACGTTTACCCATGACGTACGCACGGTTTGGACACGGCTTACACGCGGCGCATAACCTGTTGTGATGACCCAGTTGGCTTTCACCACAAAGGGGCCTGAGGTTATAATGAACCGGGCCGGGGGGCGGGGGGGTGGGTGGGGGGGAGCGGGGGGGAGTGGGGTGGAGGGTGGGGGGAAGGGGGCCGACGAGGGATTTATATCAAATTATAATTTTATAAATCATAATTTAGAATTGTTGTCAAGTAAAAATCCAGCTGATGAAACCGTGTCGCTGTGGGCAGTCGGGGTTGTGCCTACGTTGAGCCGACGAGACCCCCAGTCGCCACACTTTACACGAAAGCCCTGGGGATAGCGCTTTGAGGCTCGTCATCCTCCCAATGCGAACGGCGCCGGGGCTGTGTCAAGTGCGAGGATTATTCTTCTCATAATTACTATTCGCGCGGCGAGATCTCCAAACCACCCAAACCACTCGTTCGTTCGCGGGGAGGTGAGAAGTGGTCCTTCTGTTTTATTGGTTGCGTTGAGCAATTGGCACCCGACTGTTAATTGGTTTACGAAGGCAGTGCTGTGGGAGCCTCTCTCTCTCTCTCTCTCTCTCTCTCTCTCCCCGCAGGGAGACACTGTTAACCCCAGGCCCTCGTGTCTGCATTAACCGGCCGTTATCTGCGGTCCTGAAGTGACCGAGTGCTAATTGAGCCCCAGAGGGGGTGGGGTGGGGGAGAGCGCCGTGTTCTTTATCAGGCTCCGCTGACCCCCGTAGTCTGAACGCCAAGGGCTTGATTGCCTTTGATCGCATCTTAGCCGATGGAGGGGACTCTCTCGTACATCTCTCCAACCACTCTCTCGCTCGCTCGCTCGCTGTCTGTCTGTCTGCCTCTCTGTGTGCGTCTGTCTGTGTGTCTGTCTGTCTATCTCACAGTCTCTCTCTGTCACTCTCTCTCTCAATGTGGGGGGGGTTGGGGGGGAGTTGGTTCTGTTCCCCGTTGCCCCCACAGAGCTGACCCGCCCGCCTGACCACGTTGCGACTGCTTCGTTAGGTCGCGTAGGGCCAGTCACCCCGTCGCTGCTTCCGTCACGTCCTGTGCGCCGGGCACGCGTTGGCGTACCTCCCTGTTCACCGGCGCGCCGTACACGACATCAGCGGCGATCCGACCAGTCAGAAGGCGGCCGCGTACATATTTTTTTTTAAGCGGTTCGCGTTACGACGCGGGGGCTCGCGTTAATGGAGTCAAACCACCCCGGCGCAGAGTCGCGCTGTGTTAACAGAGCCCAATAGATAAATCAGCCGAGCTTTTAAGGATTTGAGTTGAAGAAATACCCTGAAGCCTCACGAACGGGAGCAAAGTTTACGTGGGGTGGTGGGGTGGGGGAGGGAGGGAAGGAGGAGGGTGGGGTTGGGGGGGGGGGGGTGGGGGGAGGGCAGAGAGAAACAACCTCTTTCCCTCTGTTTGCGAGCGCTCTGTAAAACGAACACGAGCAAAAAGCTCGCGTCTAATTTTTTTTGTGGCTTAAGCGAGGAAGCGCGTGATGTGAAGCGTTTTAAGCGGAATGTAAATAGACGGCAGATGGTGCCGGGGATGTTGTTGGAACAGAGTGATTTTTGTTTCTTTTGGGTTTGGTCACTCAGCCGGGTGTGTCTTGACGCAGGCAGACGGGCACCCACCGCCGCGGTCAGCCGGGTGTCTCGACGCCCTTGGAAGCCGTTCTCCCGGCGAGGTTAAGGCGAGAACTGTAAGGGCAAGTCACTTCAGTCGTGCTCGCTCCACACTTCTCACCTAATCCCAGAGAGGTCCGTGTGCACAGGTTGAAAAGAACTAAGTGTTGGGGCTTCTCGCTCCCTCCCATCCCTCCCCTCACCATTTCCCCCCTCCTCGCTCCCTCCCTTCCCTCCCCTCACCCTGACCATTTCCCCCCTGCTCGGGTCATGACCCAACTGTGCAGCCCCTTGGGACGTCCTCCTGACGTGAAAGGCGCTTTATAAATGGAATCTTGTTGTTGTTGTTGTTGTTGTTGGGGCTGGGGGTTGGAGGGCAGTTCGGTGGGTCAGGGGGATTGGGGGGCGGACGGACGGACAGGTCGGGGGGGTTAACTGCTAGTGTTTAACCAGTTATAACCAGGCTGTTTGTTTAATATTCCTCTCTTAAATCCCCCCGCTTCCCTCCCCCCACACAAACCAACTCCGGGGCAATAAGCACTGAGGTGTCCGGGAGTAAAATGGTACCGGCTGTGCGCGTTTGTGTGTGTGTGTGTGTGTGTGTTTTTTTTAAAAAAAAGGTATTTTAATATAAACCGAGACCTGTTTACCGGGGCGATCAGAGTCTTTTCTCACACTTTTAATCCTGTTTTAGAGAAATAATGACTACGAAACTCACAATCCCAATTTTTTTTGCAGTAAGTAAAAAAAAAACCTTGCGAACTGCCCAGCTCAGTTGAAGCGCAGTTCAGCTGCTTTGACCGACCAGAAGCTTCTAAGCGCCAAAAACTTAGCGCTTTGAGATTGACAATGCGTGCACTTCTTTGCAGTTACTTTGCAGTTACGAGCTTACCTGCAGCAGCAATATGTATAGGTTTTGAAAAAGCGGTTTCCTTGGGAATAGAGGTTGTTTTTTTAAAAAAAAATGATGTGGGGGTGTGGGGAGGGTAGGGGCGGGCGGGGGGGGGGGGGGGGGGTGGGGGGGGTGTCGGGGAGAAGAAGTAAAAATGGATGATTGTTTTGAATGTCTTGACAGTAAAATGCTTTTTATCTTACTGTGGTGCTGTAAAGTGAAGGGTGGTGAATGCACCCACTCAGTATTCAAAGGTATTTTCACTAAGAGATGCCTGTGTATATGTGTGTTTATAGAAATTGCTGTGTGTGCGTGTGTGTGTGTGTGTGTAGGGGGGGAGGGATGGGGTGGGTGGGGTAATAGATATTTGCACAATATCGCACAAATAGTGACTGCTTTTGATTTGATTTGCAGAAGGATCTTTTTTGGGTGGGTGGGTGGGTGAGCGGGTGTGGAGAGGGGGAACGAAGAGGAAACGTGACGATATGAATATCACACTCGTTGTTGCAACATAAAGTGTGTCTTCCCGGTCACTGTCCTGGCTGCCAATCCCTACTTTCTCTCCCCCCCCCCCCCCTCACCCCCACTCCCAGATATTTTGGTAATTTGACTGTATTTCGCTTCACGACTGTTTAAAGGGACTTTTGATTTGCTGAAATCGGCTGCTGCGTTTATCCTAACTCTTTAAATGGCTGTGGAAGTTAGTCTGGGATCTGGAGTGATACTGGATTAGTCAGCAGAGCAATAATAATAATAATCCTTGCGTTTGGTATAGCGCCTTATCATGTCGGGAGGATGTCCCAAAGCCCTTCACAGGATTTACTGTAAAGTGCAGCGACTTGTGTATTTTGTGGGTGAAAAGCAGCAGCCAATTTGCACACAACCACATCCCCGCAAACAGCAGTGAAGTAAACGACCAATTTTATCTGGTGGGGGTGGGGGTGGCGGGGATCGTCGGCCAGCACACCGAGAGAGAGACGGGGCGAGAGAGAGAGAGAGAGAGAGAGAGAGAAAAACTCCCTTCTCTTCTCGAATAGCACAGCGAGATCATTAACGTCCGCCTAATGGGGAGGTTTAACTTATTTGGTTTAACTTATCCGAAGAACAGAAACGAGAGAGAGAGAGTGTGGGGTGGAGGGGTGGGTGGGGAAAAACCTGCTCAACCCAGTAAGATGATCTCTCGCGAGAAGGGGAGGCAGTGTTACATTATCAGTGGAGGAGAGGGGAATGGGGCGGGGGGGGGGGTGTGAGCAGTGACTGTAAGACTCCAGGATTCTTGGGCGTGGGGTGAGGCGGGGTGGGGGAAGCACAGAAAAGCACTTGACGTTGAGAGAGACTTGACCGAGGCAGCACACGGTGCCAATTGCATACAGATGTCCTTTTCATTTCACTTTATCGAAACCTGCGACAACAACAGATTGATGATTAAATGCCCTGTCGCTGAGCTTTTAGTTATGGGTTAGTTTATTGAAATTTTACTTGTTGCCTTCGCACCCTCCACCCCACCCACCCCCACCCCGCACTCTCCCCCATTCCCCCGAACCCCCACCACCACCACCACCAGCCGCACCTCCGGTGCCCTCGCTCACTCGCTTATTAAAGTGTGCGCTCGCCATGGTAGGGAGTTATCTCTCGGGTTATTGCACTGAGTGGCGGGGTCACACCCCTCCTCTTTTGGGTGTGGATCTATATGTGTCTGGGACATCCTCCCTCCTCTCCTCCCCCCTCCCCCCCCCACCCCCACCCCCCAAACCCCAAGAACATAACATAAGAAATACTAGACGAAAAAAGACCAAGGTCCATCCTTCCACCTTCCTGGC